GTCCAAACCCTGGCCAGTGAGCACTAGTTAGAGCATCAGCCTATAGACTGGAGGGTCGAGGGTTAGATTCTCAGTCGCAGGTGGGTGTGTAGGAAATGCAATTCTATAATTTATTTAACCAATTCACATTATTAAACACTTAGGTTATTTCTAATAATTTATTATTGTAAATAATAATCCAGTAAGAAGCCTAGTGGCTAAATCTTAGGTAGATCATTTTTCACTTAATTATAAACATATTTTATTGTGTGTTTCAGATACAGACATGAAATTGCACATGATGGACAGAGGATTTACATCTTGGGAGGTGGTACTTCCTGGACAGCTTATTCCTTAAACAAGGTATATATTTTTTTTTTAAAAGAGAGAAAAGAGGGAGAAGTGTAGAGGGAGGCATGTGCTATACTAAGTAAGATAATTCTGTTACTATAGATATCTTAAGTTTTGAAAAGGTTCTTCATTAACATCTATTTTATGTTGCATGCTCTTTATCATGTAAGGTTGAGCTCCGTGCCCCTAATATGCTCTCCATTTGACAGCTGCATTATCGCTCAAAGAATATACTTCATGAAAATTATCCTCTCACGTTGGATGAGGAAAACGACTAAAAGGAAGAAATAGTAGCTTGAATGGAGCAACTAATTGGAATTGGAACCAGCATTCTCAGAATGTCACATCCTTATCATCATCAGTGCTCTGTATCTAAAAAGAACAGGCATTTTTAGGGCCATGCATCACTAACTTGAGAAAGCTGAGCTCTGAAGGGCTTTCAGGTCTTCCATCCCTGTGGCATTTCTAAGTGCACGTATCCAGGGGAAATCTAAAGTAGGACGCAGAGCTCCTGGTCTGTCTGGAACCTTAACGATCTTTTTTCAGTTTGGTTAAAACTGCCTTCGGGTGCTTTCTTACCAACATTTGCTTTATTCTTTTTCTAAGCAGTTTGCATATTTATTTTTTTTAATTTCTTTATTGATTAAGGTATTACAACATATGTGTCCTTATCCCCCCTTTGCTCCCCAACCCCCACTCATGCCCTCACTCCTCTGTTGTCTGTGTCCATTGGTTAGGCTTATATGCAACACTTGCTTTTTTCTGTTATAAAATCATACATATTTATTGTAGAAAATGTGAAAGTTGCAAAATTCTAATTTTTTTCTTCATTATTTTCTTTTTTTTAAATACTGAGATAATCTATGTGCTTAATTTTGAACTGTTAATATTTTGTCTTAGAATTAGCAATAAATCAGATAAAAACAGGGTAAGAAGACTTTTCAAAAAAGTATATACGTTTGTACAGGCTGTTGTTTAAAATCCAGTTTTCAGGCGAGCTAACATTATCTGTGTGTATCTTTTTTTTCCCTCTCCAAGATCCATGCATACAACCTTGAAACAAATGCATGGGAGGAAATTGCAACAAAACCCCATGAAAAAATAGGTAAACTTATAGTATTGACCCGTTTATCTTTAACAAATGTATTTTATACTTTACTTGTTTTGGAAGGGAAAAATTAATTTTATTGAGTTATATGACAAGTAAAATATCTCTTGAACTGTTATTAGAAATTACTTGTATTCCTGAGCCCAATTCTTCTTCTTCAGCAGTTGAGCAGAGACTTTTAAAGGGAATTGCCGAATTCTGTGCAAGTGAGGGATTATGGGTGGGATAAGAAATAGGTACTTAAATCAAGATCTGTCTACCTGTTTGTGGGTAAGAGGGCTTGGGAAACCCACTAGTAACCTGACCTCTGCCACCCCGTGTGTTTTCCTGCACCTTAACATTGTGCCGCTCTGATGAGACTTCCGCTGGCTTGTGTTAGTGCCATAAGGGAGGACTGGAAGGGCTGGGCAGTGTTTGTTGACTGCAGCCAAGGGGTTGTTTTAGGTGAGTTGCTCGTAGGATGCCTGTCACTGTGTCGTATCAGTGTTACCTCTGTGAACAACGGAATTTCTGTGCTTATGTCTCTGGCAGGTTTCCCTGCAGCCCGGAGATGCCACAGTTGTGTTCAGATAAAAAACGGTAAGCGTTCTAAATAAGTCTCTGGTTCCATTTCTGTAATTATATGTATGGAGAATGCCTTATTTCCTAATGATAGCAGCTCCTTACAAGACACATAACTCTGGGAACAGCCTGTTTCTTATAGTTTCAACTTAAGAGGAAATTCATAAAGTTATGCTTCTCTCAGCAGTTTTTATAAAGTCAACTCATATGTTTGGGTTCCTTCAGTTATCAGAGAACTCAAGACTTGGTGATAAATAAGCTTTTATTGTACCCCCTGATTTTGAGCACCCTACCGCAGCAGATGTCGGTGGTTCTGATGGGGAACAATAGAGACCTCAGTGAACATTGTATTAAAACTGTAATAACTCCTTCTGGAGTATTATATCGTAAAGTTTATTTTGTTCTCTGTCTGATGCCAAACAGAACTGTGAGCTTATTCCTGGGCCATATTACAACAAAGGCATTGTGTGGCTTCAGAGAGCAGCTGCAGCTACTTTATCTAAGTGTGATAAATGACTCCTCTTTGGATAACCTTTCTGTCTTTTAATTTACAGCTTATTTTATAGTTTGATATAGCACCTTACATGTGTCTCTGGGAGGAAGTTGTATATAACTGATTTGATAGCCTGCATCCTTTCAGCAGCTTCGTTTGGATTTTCCCGGGATTATGCTGCTGTCTCTCGTACAGAGGTTCTTTTTATTATGCTTCTGCTTTTTGGATAAGATTTACAGATAGTGGCATTGTTCAGCTTTGCCTCTCTATGAATGGCGCTGTACTTTTCTTGAATCCTAGTCAAAATGGTTTCCTGTGTATTTTATCGTTTGTTTAAGTATTGGCTTCAACTTAGTCAAGACTTGAAATAAGACAGCTATTATTTTGATTCTTTGAGATCAGGCACCGTACAGACGAAATTCAGCCTTAGTTCTGGGCATTTAATTTGAAGGCTCACATAGCCTTTGTTACAAGTTGTCTAATTAGTTATAACTAACTGAACCCATAAAGCCAAAAACAAACAAAACAGGCGCAGAGAGAAACTTTGATTTTGGGAAGGTTTTTTCCCTCTGATGTAAATACACATCAAATGGGTCTTCAGGCTGTCCTCTTTGGGCTGGGGAACATTTGGAAGAGCCTCATCTGTGCCCCCAGTCAGAACAGCCCAACAAATGTGTCTCCTCACGTTAATGTCTGCATAAAGAGCATTTGTCTCTACGTGCAGATAAGTTGATTTTTTCCAGGACATTATTTAAAAGAAGAGTTTACAAACTGATGGTCTGCAGATGTGTTTTGTTTGACTCATGTGTATTAAAGTTTTTTGAATTACTGACTAACACTTAAAAATCAAAATTTTTCACTTTTAAAGAAATCCAGATTTCTTTTTCTTCCCTGGGAACCCAGTGTGTGATGCCAGATTTCTTGCATGATTACATGAGGTGTCCAGTGGAGGAATGTAGTTCCTCTAGCTGAGAAGCTTTGCTCTTTTATTTATTTACTTTAAAGAATAGTTTATGCCCCAGCCAGTTTTGCTCAGTGGATAGAGTGTCGGCCTGCGAACTGAAAGGTCCCAGGTTCGATTCCAGTCAAGGGCACATGCCCAGGTTGTAGGCTTGATCCCCAGTGGGGGACTTGCAGGAGGTAGCCGATCAATGATTCTCTCTTATCATGGATGTTTCTATCTCTCTCTCCCTCTTCCTTCCTCTCCGAAATCAATAAAAATGTATTATAAAAAAATAGTTTACAGATTTTTAGAGAGCAAGGAAGGGAGAGAAAGAGAGAAACATCAATGTGAATATCGATTGGCTACCTCCTGCATGACCCACTGGGGATCAAGCCTGCAACCTGGGCATGCACCCTTAACTAGGAATCGAACTTCCTGGTGCATGGGCTAACGCCCAACCCACTTAGCCACACCATCCCAGGCTAGATTTCTGTAAGGCAAACCTGGCCTTAAGTCTGGCATGGTATTGGTCACCTGGAGCCCCACTGCCATCTCCCCTATGGAGCATGTGCACTCCTGTTTGTGCCCTGGACCTTTTTACTTCTTTCTATGCCTGGCGCCCATAGGTGTCGGAACCCAGACATGAAGCCTCCTTAGAGCTTTGCTTCCTTTGTCCTAGCAAAATCCCAACGTAGTGTCCATCGAGGGACGAGGCGGCAGCATGAGGAGGCCCACCCAGCTGAAGTCCTCTGTGGTTTGGGGAAATCTGCTGAACTGGTCCCAGGTCAACTAGCCGTGTGCTAGAGCTGTGGCTCCTTTTCTTTGTGTGATCTTGGCTTTCTCTTTTTGTTCGATAGATGTGTTTATTTGTGGGGGCTATAATGGAGAAGTGATCCTGGGAGATATCTGGAAATTGAATCTGCAGACTTTTCAATGGGTAAAGCTCCCAGCTACCATGCCAGAGCCTGTTTATTTTCACTGTGCAGCTGTTACACCAGTAAGTTTTTATTTTCATATCTTCCTTCATAGTTGCAGATAAAGAAATCTTTTTAGGAATATTAGCAAGAAAAAAAGATTCTGATATCAGCAGATTCTGGATTAAGAATGTGTTTTTAAAAAGTTCTTCCAAAGCTAGTGCTTCTGAGAAGCGGGGAGAAAACATATACACAAGTTTAAGAGAGCAGCATAAAGGTAAAAGAAGTGCTACGTGCAGCATTCAGGCCCTGACAGTGCTATCAGAGGGGTTTCCTGGACGGCAGAATAGATTTACCCCATGATGCCAGGTTATTGAGAATTCTAGTTTTTTTAACGCAAAAACCTTGATTTTCATCTCTATATGTCCAGTATTAGGCACAATGGAGAGAAACCTTAATGTTTGTTGACGTTGTTGAAGTCTAAAACAATCTATAGTTTCCCCCTTATGATCTCATTCATTATTTAAACCAGTCGTGATCACTGCACTATGTTGGGATCAGTGAGAAATTTTTTGTTTCACCTCATCTCAATTCAGCCCACTTTGAATTTTTTTTCTTTAGTCTTAGTGTCTGTTTCTCTCCCATTTGAACTCATCCTCTTTGACTGCCATTTGCTCATAGGCTGGTTGCATGTACATTCATGGAGGAGTGGTGAACATCCACGAAAACAAGCGGACTGGCTCGTTGTTTAAGATCTGGCTGGTGGTGCCTAGCTTGCTGGAACTGGCATGGGAGAAGCTGCTCGCGGCCTTCCCTAACCTAGCCAACCTCTCCCGGACACAGCTTCTGCACCTGGGACTCACACAGGGACTCATCGAGCGCTTGAAATGAGGATTTCTGGACTGTTCATTGATACTGGAAATGTTAAATTAAAGAGACTCCTTTATTTATGGGCAGTGTAGAATGTGCTACAAAGAGGATTGGTTACCCTGATCAAGGCCTTATTCAGAAAATACATCAGATGCCTTTCTGTACATTGGTTTTGGTTTTAAGTTTATGGAATCTCACTTTCCCTTGTGTTTCTTTCTTTGCTTTTCTCCCTCCCACCCCAATACATACACACACACTCACATACTCCCTCTTCCTTGATGGCATTGAGGGAAAGTCTGAAAGTACCTTAATAATGTTATGAATCAAAATAAGATAATGAATTTTTTAAAAGAAGTTTTGAACATATGACCATGTCAGCCAATGCTCTATAAATGAAAGCAACATCATCAGTGAAAACAAAAATAAAATTAAAAAATTTTAAATCCTGCAACAAGACGTTTGGGGGATAGAACAAGAAGGCTAACCTTGGGAGACTTGCAGACTGTGTGTAAAGCTAGTGTTTAACTTACTGCTTTCAAAGATACATCTGAAGAGCTGGTTCTGACGGCCACAGTGGTAGACATCCTGCTGCAGAGATACCCAAACCTAAATTTTGACTTAGGAGGAAATTTAAGCAGCTCGGCAACTCTTGATTAGTGGTTTCTTCTTTCATCCTATGGTGCCAGCACTCGTTAGAGGTGGCTTGTCCAAAGACTTGTGTGTGTCATAGTGGTGCTGTTCGTTGTGGCTCTTAGAAATTAGGACACCAAGAATGCTTCACATCAAGAAACAATGGTTGTCCAAGTTCTTTGTTTGAGCAGTTTTGAAATTCTCCTGTGCTTATTAATGCTTCAAGTATCACTTTGGCTTCTTCTTCATGGGGAATTGTAGACCCTAAATATGTGGCACACATGCTGTGGGACATAAATGCAAGCTCATGAGAGGCCAGAGGAGAGCAGGGCCGGGAGGGCTTCTGCTCTGGGCTGAGAGCTTCGACTGTCCCGGTGCCCATTTCCTTTCAGAACTTGCTTCTTCTCTAACTCTGGGCCATGCACCTGCCATTTTCTTAGATGACAGGTTTATCTCTAGAAAGCCAATTGGCCCTTGATTTTTCTCTTAGCTTATCGCCTCCTTCTCCATCTGCTTTAATGTGCATAGATAGTGCTGTGAGTACTTGTCTGGTAAATGGATAAAAGGCCCTGAGGGAAAAAGCCACAGGTCATCTTTCCTGAAGAACTAAGCATCATCTTAAAAACTAACATGAGGAGCCCTGGTTAGAGCATCAACCCGGGACCTAAAGGCCTCGGGTTCCATTCCTTGTCAAGGGCACGTACCTCAGTTGCAGATTCAATCCCAGGCCCTGGTTGTGGCGTGTACAGGAGGCAACCAGTCGATGTGTCTCTCATACGTAGATGTTTCTCTCTCTCTCTCTCTCTCTCTCTCCTACCCCACCCCTTCCACTCTCTCTAAACAAAACAAAAAAAAACTAGCATGAGGAAGGAATGAAACAGGATCATTCGCTTTTTGGTGCGAAATTTTAGTTCTGGTTTGTTTTCTGTTGTTTTTAATTCTAGGAAAGAAATGACTTAAATTTTCACTTGCTCTGCCATCACGCTGCTAGAGTAGTTCAGCATTTGGAAGGCCTTGGGCGTATGAAAGGTACCAAAGGCATACAGTGCTGGTCATCCCATTGGTTGCCTCACCGTAGGAGACTCGGATGAGAGATTTAGGACACATTTTCCTTTAAGTGCCTCTTTTTCACTTAGCTTTTAAAGTTATTCTTTTTCCTTCATCCCAGAAGGGATATCTTTAGCTCATGTGTGGATTTAAAATCACCTTTGAGTTAGGCCTAAAAGTTACCATTGAATGTTCAGTGCTAGGGAAGAGAAAATTGTGGCCTCTAGACTTGAACTCCTAACTTGCAGGCCTTATTATAACATCCCATCCATGTGGGGTTGAGTTTATGGAGCCTGTGTTTGGCAAGGTCTTGTAATAACCATTCATCTCTGAGTTTGGGTCCTTTTGCAGGGAGTGAGGCATGTGGAGAGAGGCAGGAAAAGGAGCCAGTCCTCTAGAGGCCCCACCCTCATTTTGCCATGACCAGTCTGTTTGGCATTAACTTTCCATCCACTGCTAGGCTTGTTGCTATGAGGAGCTCTCTCCAGAGCAAGTCAGTCTGAGCAGCCCCATTAATTCAAAACAAAGCTCTGCTGCATGACTCCAGTGTCGTCTCTGGATCATTGGGGGAACTATGTCTAGGATTAAACAAGTCGTGCAGTCTAGGGTGGTGAACGGATTTTGTCATGGATTTACATAGGGACCAAAGACTGAGTGCTTCTCCTTTCATGGCTCTTGGGATAGAAGTAGGTCTCTAGTTCTTCTACACAGAGAGATAGAAAGGAAGCCTGGCTCAGTCCATACTTGCTGGCATTCTTTTTATAAAGCCGCCTAAGAGCGGTCATCTTTGAGGTAGACTTTGGAGGCCTGACATCCAAGACCTGTGTGTGATGTTGTCATACAAGTACATATCTTTGGTCCAAAATGTCTTCTTTTAATATAACACTAGTGAACATGATGTAGTATGACCAACTCTGAGTGCTGTAAACTACACTTTATGCACATGTTCTGGATGCCAAATGAGACTGTGTGTGTGATGATTTAAATGTAGATGACTAGGATTTTATATAAAGGGCCACCAGGCATTTTAGTATATCTATAACCAGCTTTTAAAGTTATTCTTGAACTTTAACTCTGAATTCCTGACACTTACTTGATTTAGGAAAGTTTATGCCTGCTGCTTCTCCACCTCTTTGAGGTACTCCCTGCTATCTTACTGCAGCCCTGAAGTTTAAGTGCAATATAAAGAAACACATACGGATATGTACAGATTATATATAGGATATGACTATAAGGCAGGTAGCCAACTTTCTTGGGGAAGCCAGCTCATCACTGTAGAGTCAAACTATAACCAGAATTTGAGTTGGGATCGACTGGCTTAAGCCAACTCTTGGTAGAGCTGGATTTTCAAGTCAGTGTTTTGTTACTCCAGTCCTTGGGTTTGTTAGCTTTGAGACTTCCCCCAGTCATCTTTGTACTCTCTCGTGTTTGCATATCTGCCTACATTTCTTTGCCCAGGAATGAGGAAGTCTATCTGTGAGAGTTTCCTATGTGGAGAATTAAAACCTAATATTTAATACTACCAGTTCTCCCATGTATATACTAATTTATCTGTGAATGTCAGACTTTAAGTAAAGAAAATCATGCTTTCTTAATTTAATAGAGTGTTTTCCACATCCTGGAAAAATCTATAAAACAGTATAGACTAGATTGAAATGTTAGGGGGCCAAACTGAAACCCTTTCCACTGGCAGAATCTTCTTTTTTCAGGGCCCTAGTGACATGATGTGAAACTTCGGTCTAAACTGTTCATGCCTATGACATAGCTAGATTTAGATGTATAATAAACATTAACATTTCTAAGCAAAGGTGTTTTAACAGTGACCTTTGGTTACCCAGAGTAGCAAGAGTAAAGCACAGATCATTGAAATCCATAGATAATCAGTGTTTCAACTTTTCAATCACACTTGATTCATATAGAGTTTTTCCTTCCTACCCCTGTCCCCATAAAAGCACCTTCTCTTCAATGGGTGGAGCTGTGCGTGGTTAGAAATGGAAAAGGAAGAATCCTGGTCAGGTTTGGAAACCAGTAGACATACAAGCAACCTGATCAGCTCAGGCAATCTGCTGACATTAGACCCACTGGTGGTAATCCTGAGTTTAGCTTTGGCATAGTTCCCTGCCCTGAGTTCTAGACCCTCTGTCGTCTAACCATCATAGAACTCTCAGCACCTATGGGAAGACTACGCAGTGTGTGAGGAGGAGAAAACCCATCATGTCAACACACTTCTTTGGCTTTTGACATATACTTGCTTTCCCACTATCCATGCAGGAGTCTTAGTTTTTCCTTTCCAGCCATATTGCTGAGCATGTAGGAAAGGTTGAATTATCTCTGGAGACTATGTTGTCTTACTTCTGTAAAACCCCCTTGTCTCTAGGTGGTCTTACAGACATCTAGAACGAGGCACAGGTTACCGAATTGCCTACCTGACAGCACTCCGATGTAGCACAAAATGCCATTTTCCTTATTCTTCACTGTTCTGGCATTGAGCTTCAAGATGGGCAAGGGTTTATGGTCTCGTGATCATAAGCTCCAAAAACTGTCACCGTTAGCTTAAATAGCTTTGGTTCCCAAAATACCTGAGGACTCTCGGAGCGTTGGCCAGGCCTGAGGTAGACTCAGTCGAGGTCTGTAACCTCTGCATTCCGTTCATCGCCACCAGATCATGCCCAGCAATAGTGTTTCCTTCTAAGGTTGTTAGGTTCGGTGGAAAGCAACCTGTCTTGTCTGATGTTATAAAAAGAAGTTCTGAGTTGTGCTTCAAAAGTGGTGCCATCTTTTTAGTATAATTTTCATGTTTTTAATTTTTTTTTCCACTTCTTATAAGTTTCTTAAGGGCCCTGCTTAGTGTACAGGGTGAGTCAGAGGCAGTCTCACCAAGCTTAGTAATTACTGTTGTACTAGGTGCACATGTAGAATACAAAGGAGGCATCAGAAACACACTGACCTTCTCTAGAGCCACTTTCTTGTACGGAGTCTGAGCAGGGACAGCGCCAGCATCTCCCTGCAAAGGCACCTGCCAATGGGAGGTTTCTGGAAGAACCTCGGCAAGAAAGGGAAACCCCTCCCACACGCCACCTCTGAGGGTGGCCTGGGCGTGGCTCTTCGTACAGGGTATGCTTAGGTCACACGCGATGCCCGCCTTATTATAAAGCTATTGCCACCGTCCCGTTAAATAGTGTGGAAGTCCTTTTGCAGTCTGGTGTGCATGCCGTATGAGCAGGACAGCTTTTCCACCTTACCTGGGTTCCTACAAACAGGTAGGAAATATAGTGAATTTACCCTAAAATGTCCAATCTGTATTTATGTACCTTGTCAGTGTTTTGCTGTTGGTTTTCTAAAAATAACATGATCAATAAATCATCCAAATCTATGTGGTTCAAGGCTACCTTGATTGTCTGATGGTAATCGTGGGTGTGTGAGCTGACCTATGTGACCTAAGCATCAATCACCACCACCACCTACTTTATACCCCACCACGGTCCGCTT